GTGAGAGAGGTCAGCTCAGGTATCTTATTCTCTAGTCTGATATATATTGTCTTTGTACAAACAGACAGTCTTCATACTGGGAGCTAGTGTGCTGGTATAGAACGAGCACTGGACTGTGAGTCCAAATACTAATTGTTTTTTTTTTTTTTTTGAGACTGAGTCTCACTTTGTCACCAGGCTGGAATGCAGCAGTACAATCTCTCGTAGCTACTGTGATGCAATCTCTAGTTGCAGCTACCCTGGAAACTGAGGCAGGAGAATTGCTTGAGCCCAGGAGTTCCAAGGTTATAGTATGCTATAATGGTATGACTGCACCTGTGAATAGCCACTGCACCCCAGCCTGGGCAACATAGTGAGACCTCTCTCTTAAAAATAAAAACTCAAATTTCCTATGCTAAAACATAGAATTATGTAATAATTTCAAACATTTAAAAGATCAAATTCTTAATATTCTGCCACATGCTATTTTTATCAACACATATTTAGATATCTTTCATTAGTGTTTACACAGCTACCTCACTTCTTTTGTCAGCTGTATAGCATTCCACTGTACAAATGTATTACAATTCATTTAACCAGTCCCTCTATAAAGAATGCTTTTACGGCCGGGCGCGGTGGCTCAAGCCTGTAATCCCAGCACTCTGGGAGGCCAAGATGGGCGGATCAAACCCCGTCTCTACTAAAAAAAAAATACAAAAAATTAGCTGGGCGAGGTGGTGGGTGCCTGTAGTACCAGCTACTCGGGAGGCTGAGGCAGGAGAATGGCGTAAACCCGGGAGGCGGAGCTTGCAGTGAGCTGAGATCCAGCCACTGCACTCCAGCCTGGGCAACAGAGCAAGACTCCGTCTCAAAAAAAAAAAAAAAAAAAAAAGAATGCTTTTACTAACTCATGCAACATATAATTACACTGAGTGCCTATTAGAGCAGGTCCTGTTCTGGGCATTGGAGATACAGAAGTGAACGAAGCAAAGTCCTTGACCTGATGGAGCTTACATTCCAGTGGGGGGAAGTCAGAAAAAAGTCTATCATAGTACGTCAGCTGGTGTAAGACTAAGGAGAAAAAACAGTGCAGGGCCTAGGAGCTCAATAACAGGTGGGGCGGGCGGGGAGAAGTTGCTATTTTATAGTGTGGCCAGGGTAGGCCTCTCTAATAGGGTAAATATAAGCAGAAACCAGAAGGAACTGAGAGAACGGGGCATGCTGATAGATGGGTGAAGAATGTTAGGGCAAAGGCAACAGCCAACACAAAGGCCCCGAGGTGAGAGCATCACTGAGAGACAGAGTATTTGAGAAAACAAGGTGGCTAGTGTGCATGGAATCTGATGAGAAAGGGAGATAGTAGTAAAACATGTCAGGGTAGAGGAAAACAAACCATGCAGGGCCATTTTAAGGACTTTTCGACAGGGGAGTGGCATAACTGGACTTATGTTTCAACACAATCACTCTGCTTTGCTGAGAACAGATTAAAAGAAAACAAAGGTTAAAGCAATGGGTCCAGTTATCTCAGTGGGAGACAATGGTTTAAGCTGGAGTGGCAGTAGTGAAGAGAATTAGAAGTGGTAAAATTCTGAATATAGGCTGAACGCAGTGGCTCATGTCTGTAATCCCAGCACTTTGGGAGGCCAAGGCGGGTGGATCACCTGAGAGTAGGAGTTCGAGACCAGCCTGGCCAACATGGCAAAACTCTGTCTCTACAAAAAATACAAAAATCAGCCAGGCGTGGTAGCAGACACCTGTACTCCCAGCTACTTGGGAGGCTGAGGTGGGGAAATTGCTTGAGCCCAAGATGCGGAGGTTGTAATGAGCTGAGATTGCACCACTGCCCTCCAGCCAGCCAGAGTGAGACCCTGTCTCAAAAAAAAAAAAAAAAAAAAAAAAGAGAGAGACAGGGATGTTAAGAAGAAAATGTAGATAAACGAGTCTGAAGACAGAGCCCTGGAACACTCTAATGTTCAGGGATAGAGGATGTGAGGAAAAATCAAGAATGGAAGCCAAGTGAAGACCATATGCTTAGAGAAGAAAGAAGTGATCAACAGTCGCTGATGAATTACGTCAGATGAGTTCTGATGCGAAGGTCATATCCTCTGAAATACTGGAAAGGAAACGGCTTCCAGATTTTTTGCAATGACAAACAATACCTCAATAAATATCTTTGTGTAAATTTTATGGGAATGGAATTTCTGGACCCAAGGATATGTAAACTTAACATTGAGATACATTACCAAGTTGTCCACATGACTTCAACAATTTATAGACAGAATAAAACTGAATGTATATCTAAACTATCACCTACACCAAGAACTATCAAATTTATTAATCCTTGCCAATTTGCTAGGTCAAAAATGTTATCTTGTTTTATTTTGCACTTCTCTATGGCCAAAATTGAGCATTATTTCATGTTATTAGCCACTTGCCTTCTTTTCAAAAACAGTCTTTACCTACTTTTCTATGAATCTGCTTTCCTTTGCTGATTTACACTTGTATATTAATACTAACCCTTTTACTATTTTCTTTCCTTATACTACTAAGCTTATATGCTGGCTGGTACTGCTGAGAAGCAAAGAGAAACAGAACTGTACCAGAGCATTTAGACTTCTGGTTTTCATACTGTTTCCATGTTCCTTCTGCATACATGATCATTTTGTTACTTGTCTCTGCCACCTCTTTGCATGTGAGAACAATGTGGCTACAGCATCTGCTACCCCTCTGATAGCAGAGTGTGTCAGCTGATAGCAGTAGGAGGTCCTTCACGTGCATCCACCACAAGCCTGCATAACCATATTTTTTACAGAAGATGGAAAGGGGAACAAGTTCTTGCTGACCAAATCTTGTGTATTTAATTATGTGCTCACTACACGGTGGGCACTCAGTATTTGTGGAGTAAACAAAGGGAACTCCTCTCAAGTGAAAAAGAGGTCGTTTTATTGCCTTAAAAATTACCAAAAGATAAATAACTCCCTGATTATCCAAGGTTATTCCTGGAAAAGTAAGATCCAAGATAAAGATTTAACAAAGGCTGGGTGTGGTGGCTCACGCCTGTAATCCCAGCACTTTGGGAGGCTGAGGCAGATGGATCATCAGGTCAGGAGATCGAGAACATCCTGGCTAACATGGTGAAACCCCATCTCTACTAAAAATACAAAAAATCAGCTGGGCGTGCTGGCGGGTGCCTGTAGTCCCAGCTACTTAGGAGGCTGAGGCAGGAGAATGGCATGAACCCGGGAGGCAGAGCTTTCAGTGAGCCGAGATCATGCCACTGCACTCCAGCCTAGGCGACAGAGCCAGACTCTGTCTCAAAACAAAAAACAAAACAAAACAAAACAAAAAAGCAGATTTAACAAAAGTAAGTGTATGATAAACATTAACAATTTTGAAATGTGTGAATGACACATACATTCTCTAAAACAATACTATAGGGTACTGCATTCTCAAAGAAACTATTCCATACTGCTATCATTCCCTCTTACAATATTATATGGGTCAATTATCCCATTTTTAAAGTATGTATATTTCCTTCGTTACCTGGGGATAGGACTATACTGTCTTCACACAAGAAGTTTCCCCATTCCTTTGATGATTAAGATCAAAATACTTCTAATATTAAACACTGAAATAAAAGTGAGCTCTATATACATTTAAGTAAGATTAATAAAAACAAGTAAGATAATGATTTATCTGTTTATTCCAGTGGGTGATGAATAGCCAGAGCCTATCCCAGGCAGCTCAGGCTGCAAGCAGAAACCAGACCTGGACAGGAAGCCATTCTGTTGCACACACACACCCACACTCACTCAGACTGGGACTCTGTAGACACACCAATGAACCTAACGTGCACATCTCTGGGATACGGGAGGAAACCAGAGTGCCCTGAGAAAACCTCACGCAGACACAGGGAAAACATGCAAACTCCACATAGACAGTGGCATCAGCTAACAGTGTCTAATTAACACTATAACGAAATGATGTTGAATGAAATGATGTTATTCAAGGAATGTTGTATCTCTTTCTTAAGGTAAAGCTATCATAACTATCAGAGAACGTTCCAAATCATGCACAATAGCTTCCTATCTGGTTAACTGTTTTATTATTTGTATTTCCTTTCCTTACCCACCGTTTTCAGCACCTTTTTGAACACGGTGTAGTGTGGATTGAAGACTTATAGATACCACAGGGCAAATAAACAGGAAACTTAGATTATAACTGGACAAAATGAACCGGTAACAGGGACAAAATTTGGGTAAGTGGTGACAGTTCTGAAAGATGTCCCTGAAAGTAGAATAGAAATAGCGCGATGGGGCTTTCTGTTACTCTTGGCAACAAACAGGTAACCCAGTAGGGCCCAGAAACCAGGAAAAATAACATTTGGTTCAAACTGCATTCATAGCGCCTTATGAAATGAGGTCAAACTTTCATAATATTCAAATTCTTGTTCTTCAAAGATGGAGAAAGAAGTAAGCTGAAAGGAGCAAGCAGGTAGCCAAATATTCCTGAGAAAGCTAAGTGTACCAATACTCTGAAGGGGTGAGAAAGCAAGTGTGTACATAGCCCAAATACTACACAGGGCAAATGACCAGTAACCTTGCTGTGAGAATGCCTGCCTACATACTAAAACTGTACTGACTTGAGTATTAACTTACATAGATGATGGCTGAAACTTGGAGATTCTATTTTTAATTATATCTTGGTTACTAATGGAATTTGATCTGTATTTTCTTCTCTGTCAATCTAAGATGATGCTTTCCTTCCTTTCCATTGTGGGTTCAGGCATTGACAAAGCAGTCTCCCTCAGGAGTTTGAACCAACGGAGACTGGGAAAAACACAATACATTTAGAAGTGATGTAGAATTAGACATGTTTGGGAATGACGATAAGGGGAGATCACATTTTTAAAAAAAGTATTAGAAATGCCCTTATCTCTCTATCAAAATAATTAATCCAACTTCATCAAGGAGCGCTAGGGCAATGGCAAGGATCTGAATTAACTTAGGCTTTGTACTCACTGAAACAAAAGTGAAGCAGAGGCCAGCTCCCCTTTGTGCCAGCTGCTCTGTGTCAAGCCGAGGTTTTGCTAGCATCACTGACATGAGGGTTGGCAGAGCAGACTGCTCCTCCGTTGCCTCCTTTGCAGCACTGCCATCTAAACCATAGAGGGGCTGTTCTACTCGTCGCTGGAAAACAGTAAAGAAACACACAAATAACATGAAAAACATAATCTGATACTGCCCAAACATGTAACAGGTTAAAAACAGTTATCAAATATAAGATGAATGATTTTTTTAAAAAAGGCCTCTCTAAAAATAATTATGGAGAGCATACCAACATTATCATTGTATTATAACCTATCTAAAAATGTGACTATCTTACTCAAATTCTTTGACACTATATTTTAATGGTTCTATATTTATGAGAGTCTGAATTTACATGTTACTTTGTAGAATTCTACAAATCAACTTTATAATGCCCTCAACCCTACACAGGAAATATTATTTCTATCCTGTAGGTAAATGAAAATTAAGACACTGTCCCGTGACTTTTCTTCTCTTTTCTTTTTTTTTTTGAGATGGAGTTTCATTCTTGTTGCCCAGGCTGGAGTGCAGTAGCATGGTCTCTGCTCTCACTGCAACCTCTACCTCCTGGGTTCAAGCGATTCTCCTGTCTCAGCCTCCCAAGTAGCTGGGATTATAGGTGTCACCACGTCTGGCTAATTTTTTTGTATTTTTAGTAGAGACAGGGTTTCACCACGTTGGCCAGGCTGGTCTCAAACTCCCGACCTCAGGTGATCCGCCCGCCTCAGCCTCCCAAAGTGCTGGGATTACAGCCATGAGCCACTGTGCCTGGCCTGTTCCGTGACTTTATAGGTGAAGCTTATTTCACTCTCAATTCTATTCTCACTATACTATATTTAGATGCAAAAATCTAAAATAAATACAAGCAAAACAAGTTCCATAGTATACTAAAAGGATAATACACCACAATTACGCATAATTTACTCCAGAAACCTAAAAATGATTTGACATTAGCAAATCTACTAATGTAATTCATTACATTAACTTTAGGGAGGGATAAATTAAGATTCTTCCTGTTGGATACCAAAAAGGATAAACATACTGTTAGGCAACTCTTAAAAGACTAGAATTGGCTGGGCACGGTGGCTCATGCCTTGTGGCTCATGCCTATAATCCCAGCACTTTGGGAGGCTAAGGCAGGTGGATCACTTGAGGTCAGGAGTTCAAGACCAGCCTGGCCAACATGGTGAAACCCATCTCCACTAAAAATACAAAAATTAGCCGGGCGTGGTGGTGGGCACCTACAATCCAAGATACTCGAGAGGCTAAGGCAGAAGAATCGCTTAAACCCAGGAGGCGGAAGTTGCAGTGAGCCCAGATTGTGCCACTACACTAAGCCTGGGTAACAGAGCATGACTCCATCTCAAAAAAAAAAAAAAAAAAAAAAAAAAAAAGACTGGAATTATCCACTTTTAATGCAATGAAGAGTATGTTTTTCAAAAATCAACATAAAATATCATAACTAATGGTGCTAACACTGGAGACCTTTTCATTAAAGCTAGAAAACAAGACAAAAGTAACATATTCTCATATTAAACGTTATAAAAGTTTTAGCCAATGTAAAAAAGAAAAAATATGAGGTAAAAATATTAGAAATCAAAGATTTTTAGTGTCATTTTTGGATGATATAACTATTCACAAAGGAAACCAACCAAATCAATGGAAAAATTACTATAACAATTAAAAGGAGTTCAGTAAGACGGACAAATACAAAATAAATACACTAAAATCGATAGCTTCCCCAACTGATTTTAATCAGAGCATGTAACAGAAGGAAAAGCAGATTCAAAGTAGCAAACAAAAATCTGTAAAATACTTGAAAGCAAACTTAAGAAACATGCAGAACACCTATGAAGACAAACTATACAGCTTCACAGATGAATATTAAAAATGATCTAAATTAAATGGTAATATCATGTTCCTGGGTTCAGATTCTACAAACATCAAATTTCTCTAAAACCCAAGTTTAAGGTTTTAATTTTGTTTTTGGCCTTTTTCTCTTCCAAGGGATAGTCTTATGGTGGTACAGTAGTCATCTAGGTTCTCTCTCATGCTTTCTTGGGCAGTTGTTTTTGTGGGATTTCACAATAAATTCTAAGGTTCACTTAAAAAAATATCATAATCAGCCACATAATTTTTCAGAAAGAGTGTCAGGGAAACTTGATCAGATATCGAAACATACTACAATGTTACATTAACTAAAACAGTATCATACAGATACAGAAGCAGACAGATTGACCAGTGGCACAGAATACAGAATTCAGAAACAGATCTATATAATATGGATATATAATTTGTGATTAATGTGCATTTCATATCAGTGGGAACTTATTAAAAAGATGGTAGGACATTTGCGCAGACATTAGAAAAAAAGGGAAAAATAGATTCCTACCTTTCATAACATATAAAAATTACAAGAAGAAAAAATAAACAAACGCTTTTAGAATTTTCTAGTTGTAAAGGACTTTTTAAACATGACATTAAAAATATAAACCATGGGCGGGGCACAGTGGCTCATGCCTGTAATCCCAGCACTTTGGGAGGCCAAGGTGGGCAAATTACTTGAGGTCAGGAGTTTAAGACTAGCCTGGCCAACATGGCAAAACCCTATCTCTACTAAAAATACAAAAATTAGCTGGGCATGGTGGCACGTGCCTGTAGTCCTAGTTACTCGGGAGGCTGAGGCATGAGAATCACTTGAATCCGGGAGGCAGAGGCTGCAGTGAGCCAAGATCACACCACTGCACTCCAGCCTGGGCAACACAGCAAGACTCTGTCTCAAAAGAAAAAAAAAATACACACATACACACACACACACACAAACACACACCATATAGGCATACACCATATGGGAACATCTAAGAATAAGAAAAATCCCATAAGTCATAAAGGAAAAACACTGATAAATTTAACTACTTCAAGTTTTTTACATCTGAATGGTAAAAGTCAACATAAAAAGAAAAGATTACAAACAAGCAAAAATATTTACAATATAACAAATCAATAATATAAATAATTTATTAAATCTTAACAAATAATGCTTTACCTATCAGTAAAACAAAAACCAAAAACACACAAATATTTCAAAAGAGACATATGCAAAGGACCTGAACAAGCATTAAAAGAGAAATCCAAAAGGCCATTAAACATATGATGTTTAATATATATAACTAATGAACAAATGCAAGTTAAAACAAGGTATTTTTCTTTATGCAAAGGTTACAATGATAAAATTCAGTATTAGCAGGGTGTGAAAAAATTGGTACTCTCAAACTGCTAATAACCTTCTAGCAATTTATGTGATGACATTTTTAAATGATCATATTCTGACTTGGGAATTACAATTAGGGGATTTAACTGGGAAAAATTTGTAAGTTAAGAAGTATGTATAAGGACGTTCATTACACTATTTATAGAACACAAATGTTTACAAGATATTGGTTAAATAAAGTAATACAATGGAAATAAGAAAACCTATTATATAAACATACGTGTATATCTCAAAAAGTCTAGAAAAATTTGCCCACCACACTCTCTAATAACAGTTCTTTTGGAGGGAACTTTCTATTTCACCATTTCTGAATTGTTACACTTTCCCAATCAGCATGAATAAAAGAAATAATTTTCCTTAATCAGGAATAGTTCTTTAACGTTTTCATGTCAAAAAATAAAAGTAAAATGATCCTGACAAAGAAATTTAGTTTTTGAATCTATGAATAGAGTCCTCCTCATGATCAACACTCCTACCCCACCAAATGTAACAGTTTAAACTCAGGCTCTAGAACACCTGTGATATCCATTGATGACAACATTCTCACTGCATGGGAGAATGAGCTGCAACAGTAAAATTAAACCTTCTGCCATATATTCAATAAATACCTGCCAAGGATTGAAAGATTTAAAAACATTTATGTAAATATCCTACGTAGGCTATAGCCTTTCCTGTTTGAACCAACCTCTCCCTGGGGAAAAAACAAACAAACAAACTATACAGATAGGATAAAATACGGGCGAACAATAACAGCAAAAAACATTAAAAGCACTGAAGACTTGATTAAATATTAGGCATCTGCCAGGGCAAAATCTAAGGGAAATTAGGAACATCAGACAGGTAAAAGAAATACCAAAGCCACATATGACCTAAGGGCACCTGCAGATCTTGAATTTCCATTTTCAGGGCAACATGGTATCAAGCAGATAGTCACAGACCAAAGCCCAGCCCACCCAAGGGAGAGGGTTCAATAGGAAACCCTTCCCACTTCAAGCTGGGCCTCCAAAGAGCTACCTACATTCTCAAGGAAAGGGTAAACCAGAAGAAAAATTACCCCACCCTCAGATGGCTGCAAGGAAGTTGCCTTGGCAGTGTAAGAGTTGGGGGTTCTCTTGAGAAATGTTGACACAATCCAAATCAATATTTCCCAGTAGCTGAAACAAAGCAAACAAAATAAGCAAACTACACAGAATATAAGCTATAAATGCACTAAAGTGGTATATAAAAGAGGTAAAATCTCTAGGTACTCGGAAGGAGCAAATAAAAATTTTCCCTGTAGTAATACATCTTCATTTATCCTAGATCTTGAAGAAACCCCCAAAAAACTTTTCAAGAACAATGAGGAGTACACAGTTAAAAAACAAAGCATAAAAGAAATAAAGCCATGAACAACAACTAAGAAAAACAAGAGACACCAGAAACAGATTCATAAAAGCTTCAGATGCTAGAATTATCAAACAGATTATAAAATAATTGTGTCTACCATATTTTAAAAAATAAAAGACAGGCTTGAAAATATCTGCAGAAAATGTAATTCTTTTTCTTCAAAAGGCAGTAACCAATTCAATAGGGCTAACAGCAAATTAAAAACAATAAAACAGGATCTGGGAACTGAAAGGCAAGAAGAAATTACCCATGATGGAGTATATAAAGACAAGAAGAACAAAAATACAAAAAAAGAAGTCAAAAGGCATGGTAATAAAATTATAAAGTATAATGTATGGTTAATTATAATTTCATAAGAGAAGGAAAAGAAGAACAAATCAGAGATAATATTCAAAGAGACAATGGCTAATTATTCAGAACTAATGAAAGACACCAACCCGCAAAT